GGACGACCTTAACGAAATACGCCTTGGAATGATCTACGACCTCGTTTGAATTAATCTTACCATCGATAAACACTGGTCTTTTGTGGAGCTTCTAAAAATTCAATTAAATTCACCGATGCAGTGTTGCTGAGTGAATCCACGTCGACAGTTGCAAAAAATGATCACGCTAAAATGTTTAAGATTTAATTAAATTTTTTGGCCGAGATGAAGTTGTTTGGTTTGGTTTCATAATGAACAGACTTACTCCAGAACAACGTTTGTAAATCGTACAAATTTATTACCAAAATATAAGTAGGGCCGCGCGACGAATTTTGTTCAACGATTAAGATTACTTTTGTTTTTGGTTATTATGTTACAATAATAAACAAAATTGTGGCATTTGGAGTGATTATAACCAACAAGCCATTATTGAGACGCCGTTAGATTCTCAAGGAGTCACTGGTGTGCTCTATAGGCAGAGGGTCCATATTTCTTTGAAAATAAAGCCAGCCATAATGTTCGAGATTGAGTCAATGGAGAAGGCTATAGATGTACAAGTATATACATATATGGATATAAAGATATTGATGTGGACAACCTTTGGTACCAACATCAGCCCAATTGGGCCTCACGGCTGGAATTTATTCAATCCAGCCACGGTAGTAACTTGCCCGAAATCGGTTTTATTACATATTGGCAAGACCTTATGTTTATAATAAAGCAAAATTCTTGGCCATAACATTAAATTATATGCGCTTTATTTCTTCTTGAGAACCACTTGTCTAAAACAACCCTTTACTAGCCTTGAATAACAAATAAACATCTTATAAAGTAACTGAGATGTTTGTAGGAAGTAAATGTCTGAAATGGGGTCGCCAGAGGCCCCAATGAACTTCCTTAGATAAAGCTAGCTGAATTCAACTGCAAAGAGAACTACTAACTTAAAAAGAACTAAACCACTTAAGTAATCAACTTCTCTTCTACCGTTTTCCGAATTCAAGTAAATTAATGGAAAGAAGAGAGATCCCTTTGTGACTATATTATATCTAAAAATCAGACAATCTACTTGAGGGATCATACTTGACTTCATCTGCTCATGAAAATATGCCGATAACTTTTCGGAACTGTGATCCCTAGGTCATAGGAATGCCTCAATTATTAGTCATCGACATTAGTCGAAATATAGATAAAGATAGACAGTTCGAGACATTAATCTAATATAATTTTTTTTTAATCCCACCAAATTCCTTAAGGATTGCTAAAATAATGCAAGTTTTCATAAGACCAAATTCTCCAAAATAGACTCGCTTGAGGAAAATAAGTCGGTTGCTAAACATTATTCTTCTATCTTTATTCAACGATTAACACTTTTCAGATACACTGTGTTTTGACTATACCGACATTACTACCAAAGAATTCGTTGTTCTTGGTCAAACTAACAAAGCTGTAAAGAAAATTTTAGACTACCATAATGTTAGTGCGAGCTAGGTTGTTTGCTTGAGGCGCCTTTGGCATTTTCAATGCTCTTCTCGGTCAGATTTTATTGTCGGTTGGCTATGTTAAATTTATTTAGTACGCGCGCGGAAGCTTCGTACAAAATGCTTTCACTCGCATCCGATTTTCTAGCCAACCACAATATTGCCAGCCGGTTCACTCTACTGCTGGTCATTCTACCATAGACGCTCCATAAATCCTCTGTGCGACAAGAAGATAGGAAATGCGCAATGAAAGTGGTGGAAAGTTGATAAATATTTTTGCTTTTATTCCTTTCCGGCAGGCGCAACAATAGTTTTATTGTTTAAACGTTGCGCTAGAGAATAGACGCGGCGGCAACGAAGCGACCAGGCGGACAAAGAGCAGCTACCGCTGTGCGTTGTTCGGCGGTAGCGGTTGATGGTTGCACTTGTTGTACAGGGTTGCATTGCCCATCATGTTCTCTATTTTGTTTTACTACTTTGGTGACTGACGCTTTCCATTGTTGTCCATTGTTGTTGCGCTGTTGTTTGGTTCATTCAAAGCTAATGAAATTTCGCCAATTTTCTTGCACTCTCCAACATTCTGTTGTCCTCGTCTTCAACACCTACAGCTGGTGCGACTCACATACGTTTCGAGCGTCTTCCGTTAGCTAGCAGACAATTCACTTATTTATTTTGCCATCTCTTCTTCTTCGGCAGCCAAGGTTGAGATTTGGAGAGAATTTTATTTATTTACTTTATTTTTCTCGGAAACTATTTTGCTTGTCATTTCGTGTAGCCCTGCCTATAGCTTTGCCACTGCGAAAATATCTTCAAAATTGTTTTGGTTACTTGCAAATTAGTTTCTACATGACAAGAATGATGCTTTACAAAAATGTTGTCATTTCGCTACTGCTTTCGGTCCACTTGTCCCTTGGGTGCCCTCAGCGACAACCAGAATCTCCTTCATTCGTTTATTTATTCCTTCGTTTATTGTTGCGTGACATTGTGTCGCTCAACTGTGCCAAATAGTTATGAAGTGTACCAACTAAGTGAGACCTCCTCTGACAGTTGGCTCACCCACTTGTGGAAAACTTCGGCAGGAAAGTCTTGTGTGGGCAGCCAACTGGTTGTTGCTTGTAGTTTTCAAAACTTTGCCTGTCGGCGTTAATGCAATTTGTTTAGGGATTTTCCCAGAGTTCCTCCACCAGTGCAACATAGTAACCACTGTGTTTAGTCATTTTCTACAAGAAAATATTTTGTAAATTTTTCAAGAAAAAATAAAGTTAAAATTTTGCTAAAATTTGTGTACAATAACAGTGAAATTTGTTTCGTGCATTGTTCGATTGTGCGGTCTATTGTAGCGAAGTGATGATGCAGCGCTGTAGAACTTGTAACCATTTCAAGGCAGTGTAGCGTTTAGCCAACCACAAGTTTTCCAAGTTCAGAAATACATACATATGTTACAGCCGTCATAAATGTCGACGTCATTCTCCTCTGGTACCGAACAACCGAAGAAATTTAGTTTTCAGTCGTTGAGAGAATCGAGTCCCTAAATTCTACGCACAATGTTTCCAATTGAGCCTTGTTTTCGATCTTAAGGAGACCGAGCTGTTCTTAGGATTACTAAAAGCTTTTTGTCTGTACGACAACTGAGGAACTCAGACGGGTAACTCCTATAAACTTTTTTTTTGTATATTTTAAAATTTTTTTCAGAATGTAATCTCTAAGGGTCATGGCAAAATTGGTCGATCTTAGCTTCTGTGGTATTCTTCGGTCAATGATAGCAAATTTCATTTTTCTCCTGGAGATTTTGTAGTTGCCTTTCTATACCTCTCTCTCGAACCTTCGAATTTTAAGTTCGTTATCTTGCTTATTTGTTTTTAGTGGTTTGGTCGCCTTCCACATCCCACTGATAAGTTGTAACAACTAATAATTTTGATCGTGTCTCGGTCTTTGTCATTTTAGTTAAGAGATTTTCCAAAAAGTTTGATTTAAATACATAAAACTATAATGCAAAAATTACTTAAGGACACAATATTTCCAATTTTCCACCACCTGTTTTCAGCATAACTGGCCTTATCTCATCAATTGGTCAGTTGCTGTTGATTTATCAATGCAGTTGCATAACTTGATTTTTTCCCAAAAGAAGTAGTCGGACGAAGTTAAATCACATGACCTCGGTTGTCAATCGTCTTAGTTTTCGAGATGTTTTCTCTAAAGTTTCGCTTTCACTGAAGTTTCACTTTCGTCGAAAAAAAGCGACGGTTTCGTGCCCCATATGGTTAACTACACTATCCTGCTGGAACTATTTAGCACTTCGATGATTGATAATGATTTGGAAAATCACAAAGTTGTGAATAATCATCCTGTACCGCTCACTATTGCTGGTAAGGTTATATTCGTCCTGAGTTTTGAAAGAGCAAAAACTAATAATGCCTTGGGAAAAAAAAATCGTAGTCAGTAACTTTTAACTAGATATAAGGGAGACTGGAAAGACACTTCAGAGTTAAAAACTATCCCTTTCAAAAATTCTATACCCATAAAAAAGACCTACGTTTCTCTGAGTCCGATTAGTTGAGAGGACCCACTCGGCTACAACAATGTAATTTTTCCAGCTAAATTTACAAAACAATACTATCTTGAAGTCTTCCTCTACAGTGAAAACTTCTGCTATCGCTTCAGGTAGTTTATCAAGATTCATTTAAAAAATTATCCATATGAGACCTTTTTAAGATCTCACCATTTTAATACCAAGAAGCTTGTTTAAGTTCTTAGTTTATGCATGGAAGCGTTCCCTAGGTTACTTAGAGTGAGGTTTCGGCTTTGATCGATTTTTCGAAACTTTTTTTGTGTATAAAATAAATCTTCACTTTAGAAAAAGTATGTTATATTTGGTACGCCTGACTAATAAATCTAATATATTTAGGCTTGTCCGGTGTAATCGAAAGTTGGCAAAAGCGCAAATTTTCATTCATTCCGTGCCTGTAGTTTCCTCTTCTGAGTTTTTAGAGCGGATATAAGGTATATTTTTCGGTTCCATGGCTCTCTGTTAATTCCAGTTATCCTTTTTCCCCTTTTCTTTGCGCTCATTTCATTTGCTGCCAGCCAACGGATTAAACATTGTAGTAATTACCGCAAACGCGGAGTTCTGTTCTCCTTCCACTAACCCCCAACTCATTTTCAAAGTAAGTTGAGCAGATGTTGCGCTTCGTCCAGACATACCTGTCTAGTACCATTCTGAAGTATGCGCCGTTAAGCGTATCTCTCTGTAATTTTGTTAATGACTTCAACTACTACAAAGTATTTGCCACTTACCGCGCTCTCCCCCGCATCATCACTTCGGCAAATGCAACTTTTGAGGAGTTCTACTTTCGCACAGCGACCCGACTTCGGTGTTTCTTGTTATTTGTTGCTGCATTTGAATTTTAATTTCTTAACACTTAAACTCATTACTTCACTTTTCCACACTTTAACACTTATCGTCTTTGTGCATTTTTACGCTCCTTAATGCATATGTATGAGTAGTCTAATGATTTTTTCTCTTTTCTTCGTATTTACTTGCAGCGAGTCGTTGAGCGTGCAGTGCTTCCACTGGGTGCTTACGCGTATGCAACATGATATGGACATGATTATCAGCGACAAGAAGCAGGCGCGCGTCTGGGCGAAACGCTTGCATGTCGCACTACAGGTGAGTACCAACTTGAAAATATATTCATTTATGTATGTATGTGCTTGTACTTACAAATGTATGGTATAATGTATGTGTCTAATAAACTAGTTGCACTCCATGCATTTTTTTATTTGGTGTTGAAAAGTTCTCGGCAGTGTAATTTTCTAGAAAGAAAAACAAAGTCGAAACATTTAGGGGCCTTAAAAACTCTAAAATAGCTTGACATATCAGCTAGAACGCAATTCGAATGATGACCGAAAAGTCAGATCCTAGTAGAGAATACTTTCGTCTCGTCTTAAGAAAGGTATTTTTTATATGAAGTTGTCTCAAATGAAAAAACCTTTAAGCTCGATGTTATTTTTAGCAGATTTTTGTGAGAAAACACCAAGAGCCTTAAGCATTACAATCTTGAGCAAAAAAAATCAAACCATTGGTTCATAAGAGCTTTAGAGGAAAAAAGTGTCACATTTTTCTGGATCATTGAATATTCTTCTGTAAATTTTTTAACCAACGTTTGATACGTTGGATAACCTTAATCCGGTAATCATATAGAATAGAGGTAAAATTATTTTCTCTTGAAATTCGATTTTTTACTAATCCTTTCTGCTTACATTGTTCCATTAATAATTAATATCGCTTGCTTAATGAATGACTCAGGGTTTCCTTTAGTATCAGTTTTAAAAAATAGACGTAATGATCAACCAACTGCTGTTAGAGTTTCATATTCAAAAAACTATACTAAGTCATACCGTTAGAGTAAAAAGTCTATGTTGACCAATGTTGTACTATGCAGCTAGATGGCAGTAGGGTCTAATAACATGGCGAATGAAGCGGATTTATCGCATTTCGAAAAAGACACACAGATACACATTTCGTTCAAAGACACCAGGATTGTTACAGAGCTACAGATGATTAACGTAGAAAAAACAGGGAGAGTCGGCTCTGTACTCTAGGTCTTGACCTCAGTCCGTCTATCGAATTCGATGAGTGTCATCCAGGCGGAAGGATTTAAAATTAATAATCTATGGGTCGATTGCTTTAAGAAGATCATCAAACGGTCTACCCAATTTGGTTCGAAAATACACCCTGTAGGCAACCCTTTTCCACATCCAAGTAGCGCTCGATCAGTCGTATTAAAATATTCTATATCAAAAAAAAAAACATAGATTGCGCTTCCTTATAATACGTTTTAAGACCTGAAAACATCATCCAGCTTTTTAAACCATCTGGCTTTTCGAATCTACTATTGTGCATTTGGCTATAGGAAAGTCATGCATGTTTGTTCTACAGATATGTGGATAGTTCCAGCTCCGCCCCTATTTCTGTGATTTCTTGTTCCAAAAGTAGTTTTATGACTTTCCATCGCTTTACCACCATTTGCAACTTCTACTATTTGTGATTTGCTTTGTTACTTCGACCGACTACCACCGATTTCATCATGTACCGTGATGTTTGTAATTTGCTCACTGCGAGCTCACGCCATATTTCGAGCGCAAAAGTTCACTTGTCGCCTTTATTTTTATGCTGCTCATTTTCATCATTTTACTTACTTTCGCCACTTCCTATTTCTCGCTGCTCTCTGCGTTGTCGTGGCAATTTCAAATGTTGATGCAACTTGCCACAAATTTGTTCGCACAACTCCTTTCCTTACATACTATGTATGTCGGTTCCTGCTACATTGGAGTTTTGCCAAGCAACCTGAAGAGTTGTAGTAGTGACTTATCACATTTTACGGTTATTAAGTGAAAATGCAGCAACGCTTTGAGTATGTTAAGAAATCAAATGTTGCAAAGAAGTTGGCAGCAGCAAACAAAAAAATGTGGAATTTCACTACTCGAACTAGTCAAAGTGCTTTGTATGCAATGCTGAGGAAGCGAAAGAGGTAGAGAGTGACGTACATGATCGTATGCTTGTCACAATTACAACAAAAGCAAAGGAATTTTCTGCAGGAAATAGTTGTAGTAAGGACAAGATATTTGACATTTACATATATAGGGTGGTTCATATGGTTGTTTTTGGTACTTTTTGGGCCAAGTTTTCGAAATATTTCTGCTAAAGAAATTTTTTAAGAACTCGTTTATGGTTTCTCACTCTATCTCTGGTTTGTTGTTCGCCCCAAGTGTCTTAATTATTAATGATGCCTTCTTTGCCTAATATCTCTTCTACGTCAAACTCTACAAAAGAATGTCTAATGCAGTCAAATAAAATCTCCGAGGTTGTTAATTGACTAATACGACAGCGCCACAATTCGATTATCGGACTAGACGCAGAAAGATTTTATATCATATCAATATGATTTGAAGTGTCAGAGCTACATATAAGGTCCCAATTGCCAGAAACAAAATTGTCGAAGTTTATAAATTTAACTTAACAGGTTAAAAAAATTTTTTACTACTCATACTCTTTGTTGGTTGCAGTGGCATATCAAAGTACTGCTTAAAAGAAAAAAATTGACCAATAATGCAAACACAAAAGTTTGAGACATACCTTACTCTCTCTAAGTATGCATTGAATACTCACGGCTCGTTTTCGGAAGTCCTGCACACATTCTATGATCTTCGCTTGGAAATATTTTTCAATGTAATTCAACTCTAAAAGGATTAGTTTTGCTGTGGGGGGCTAAGGTACAAGTTTCCGACGAGGAGAATTTCTAACAAGAATAAGCTCTACCTGTCGCGTTTCAAATTGACCGGTTGTATATGAACCACCCTATACATAAAAATATATGCAGTTAGTTGTAAATACAAGTACTTGAGAGCATGAAAAAATTACAACTATTTACGAAGGCAAAGTCACGTGTGGCATTTTACAGCGAGATTATTTACCAAGTAAAGCTGCTTTGTAGTTCATTGCATTTACGTGCCGCAATGCCGCCCTGTCGGTACTCCACCTACGTTGCGATTTGGTGTCGATTGCTGCTCTTTTTACCGTGCTGCCGTTGATACAATCGAAATTTGCTCAAGTATGTACTCGCATAAGCTCGCTAGTTGCTGTCACGCTGGTTCATTAACACGAATCGAATTCAGCGCATGTCTTCGGCGTCGGGTCTTGCGTTAATTAATACTTAGTACAACGCTGTCTCGTTCCTACTCGCATTACACAAATTCTACTACACAGGTGTCTATGAAGTGGCTAAGGAAGGCGTCTCTGAAACTCCTTAACTCATACCCAATATGGCACCGCGACGCTCACACACTTTCGTTGAATGCATGAGTCTTGACATGCTGTTGCACTATTTCGCACAGCTCCAGTCAAGTCTCGCCTGATACTCATTAGAAATGCGCACAAATGTTCGTATCCTTCAGTAATGTTACTTCCGCTTCTTTAGCGACGTTTTGCTTAATTAGATGCTCGTGAAGTAGTTTTATTGTAAAGCATGTGCTGGTCTTTTTACACCTACTACACTTTACATCGTAGATTGCGCGGTGTTTGACGGAAAGAGGGGCCAACATGTTCTTGATTAAGCGAATCTAATGCCAATTTGCATAAAATAATCCGGTAGTAAATTGTAGTGTTCATCTAGTTTTTATCTTTGCTGAAACTGTTCATTTCTTCTTTTCCATTACGATAATCTCTTACTTTTACATATTCGCAAGAGGTTGCAAAATTTTGCTTTAGTTTTTAAACTAATGAACTAAGCGCCGACTTCGCAATATTCAACGGGAACAATGAAATTTTTTCTCGAGTCTATCAATGCCTTTCTAAACAAATTGTGCTTTAACTAACCTCCTACTCCAACCAAAGTTTGAGGGACTTTTTCTCAGTCATTTATTCCTCAATTAATTTCTTATGTTGAGAAGCACTTTGCTTCTCCTTTTCTTAATATCAAAGCAAGAGGTCTGAAGAATATTTATCGTCGCTCGATTGATCCACGAAAATATTGTATTTCAATGACAAAGCGAAGATTAGTTCTTCTAACATTGGTGGATGTTCATTCAAACAACCTTCAGTTTATATATATTGTTTGCAAGTCCTCATCGGAGTAGTCTTCAAATCTATTTTCGTGTGCTAATATTAGTGCAATGAGTTTCTTTAATATTCCGTTGATTCTACTTTACCGGATGTGAAGATTTCAAGCTTAATTATCCTTATTTTAGAAATATCTGCGGTACATTACAGACTTCTACCAACAGAACTGCAGTTGTCGTTGGTGGATAATAATCATATAATTACCAAAAAAAAATCTGTATCCGTATGAGTTTATCATTCATTTGCTTACTTACTAACTCTAAATGGCTTTAGTAATCTGTAATCATATGGCGTTAGAAAGCTAAGATTTTGAACTAAAAAACTTTTTCGACAGTTTTATGATCGCTTGACTTGTCGAAAATTTCGATAAAATTATAGATATCGTCGAGGCCGACCTTCATGGAAGCACTGTTTCGATTGCCCAGGAACGAATTTTCATCTGCGAATAGCTGCTGAATCACAACAAAATCGATTCATCATCGACAACATCAAGCAAAGACGGTTGGGTTCGGAAAATGATTCACCAGAAGCTCCGAGAGCCTGGTTGGCAGGTTCTTATGCAGCGTTATTAAGCATAACCAAGCTCTGTACCATAAACTCGACTTTATACGCCACAGTAGTATTTATCATTTAACACAGCGTTTAGCAATTTTTGGTATTTATGTATTTATAATGCGTAGTGGAATTAAATTAAATTTGGGGTTAGAGAGAACACTGTACTTTGATTTTATAAAACCTTAAACTCGAGTTTATAGTGAAAGTTTTTATAGTTTAAGAGTTGACAGACTTCATCAACTCATAGAGAAAACATTTTGAGTAAACAATTTTTTACATTAGTCTGCCACTATGAGAATAGAGTTATGGTTGAACTGAAAAAGAGTACATGAGGTCAATAAGGTCATACATCAAGGCAGACTAAAAAAACTAAAACAAAAGATGAGAAATGAAAAATACTATTCTTGCGGTTATTTCAAGATCTTTAGCTTCTTTAGCTTTACTATACTCTTTACTCTGCATAAGTAAATCTCCCAGCATCAGGGTGTCAATATCTGATGCATTATTTTTATTTGAATACTTAGACCCTGGATTATTATGTTCTTCTATTAACTTTAGTTAGCTGCAAACCCTGCCATAACACTCGACTATAGCTATGCTTAGTTGTTTATTATTTTACCATTTGCCTTACCACTTTATTTACCATATATGTAACTGTGTATGTATGCGTGTAAGTAACAGAACTTCGCTTCCAATTTGCCTTGCTCCCAAACTCTTATTTATTCTCATTTCTTATTCTTTGCTTTTGTTTTTAATTACAGACATTCCGTGAATTGTTGTTGAGTTTGTTGGCGCTGCAGAAAGTTAAGGACGATCGAGCGTTGGCCCTCTTCGATATGCTATTGAATAATGTCTGCTATGTGCTGGAGTATCGAGAGACAATATTGCATCTGTTGATGAACTACAATGAGGCGCATAGCACCAAGTAAGTATGGTAGATTCCGGAAGGGAATTAAGGATAAACACAAACAACTAAACTAATAGCAGTACTTGAAGTAAATAAAGTGTTATATACGCACATATGTGTTTACTGACATTGAGCGTCGAAAGCATATAAGATAAGAGTTTTAATCCTATAGAAATTATATTTACTTGCTCTTCGAGTTATTAACATATCAATCAAACGTATAATACGTATTTACTTGTTTGCTTATCTTGAATCTGTAAAATTAGTTTTTATGCCCTGAAGAGGGCATTTTAAGTTTGCCACGAAATTTGTAAACGTCGGAGGCCCTTAAAAATATATACCATATACATATGTAGATAAATGATAAGCACGAAGAACTGAGTCGATTTAGCTATGTCCGGCTGTCTGTATATACGTGGACTACTTTTTTCATATTTTTAGAATTTTCTTAAGTGAACCCTTTTCTTTAATGTTTTATCGGGCTGTCCTCTTATATCGAGATTAATATCTTTAGTTAAATTTCGATACACACAACAAAAAAAAAACAAAAAAGAAATAAAAACTAAAAAAATGAATGATAAAATCAAATCGTTAACTCAAATCGAAAAAAAGTTCGTAAATAGCTTCATTACTTAAGTGGGCGCCTAACTCTATGCAACGGTTGAGTGGTAATTATTGTCAGTGAGCTTTATTTGATGTTCGATCTACCATAGGTGCTTATGGGGAACAAGACTTGGAAAAATAGTAAGACCTTGTATTGACAGCCCTCAATCATATTATCGATTACTATCTCCAAATGCAGCTGAAAATGGCCCTTTTGCCCTTTAGTTTAACAACTAGCATTGCAGTGCACTTCGACATTGCAAACTTTAAGCTTTACTGTGTATAAGCACACTTTCATGTCTGTTTATTTATAATAAACTGCATTAGTATGCGTTTAAATTCTCTCGGTGTTGTGAAAATTTGCGAAAGCTTCAGTAACAATGCATAGCTCCACACATGAATGTGTGAGAGCCTTAGTATGTGTGTTAGTATAGTAAGCGTTAGTTACTTCGCTATGCCACGCTATTTGCCTGAAGCTTAATAGGATTGCTGACATCGTTGGCCATGAATGTGTGAAATGTCTTAAATGTTTATACACACACAAATACTCGTTCATACAAGTAAAATGATGCAATCGACAACGTTGCTATGGAATGTCAGCTGTATATCAGTTAGACAGTTAGTTAGTTAGTGGATATGATACAATGGCAATGCCAACAACAATAACAATAACCACGCTAGTTAAAACAACAATTAAATTTGCAACATCAAGGAAAATTACAACAACAAAAACAAAACATTAAATTGAAACAACAAACAAACAAATTATAACAACAATAATGTATAAAATAGTAGGAATAACAACTAAGAACAACAACAATAACAATATTTAATACAACAACAAAAACAACAACATCCATTACAACAACAACAATAACAATTTATATTACAATGGCAACAACAATAACAACAAGAATTTATATTAGAACAACAATAACAATTTATTTATAATAAAACAACAATTTATATTACAGCAACAACAAATTAAATCGGTTACTTCGCAAAGATTTAGCGACAATTCTCCTACTCTTTACACAACCACACACAGACACATGCTCGCTTTTCACGTTCGCAATCTCGCCGCTGTGTTTGCAAAACTTTCGCTGCAGTTACGCTGATAAAATTGTTGGTTGTTATTTTTGTTAGTCAACTTGTTGTCTTTGCGAGTGTCTGCTGTCTTAGTTTGCTTTAGAATTTCCATGCACTTTGCTCTCGTATCGACGAAAAGTTTAATTGATTTTGCAAACATGTTGTTGCCGCGTGCTCGAGCATAAAATTATTATCTCTATAGCGTATTACCAGCATAAGTGTAGAAGCGTCTGTGTCGTCTAACATCACTCGCTCATACACATAAAAAGTTTTGAGCCCAGCTATAAACTATATTGCTACATACTTGTCGAAAACTTTGCTTGAATTTTAATTGCACTCCAGTTGGTTATTTGGTCGACTGTTTACTTAAATGTATAAATGAATGTGAATAAATGAATGGGTGAGTGACTTACTGGGCAAAATGACTGCCTGCCGGCTCAGTTACACAGGCACTGCCGTTTACAGTTAGTATGTGTGCGTGTATGTGCCTTGATCTCAGTACCAATTGTTCGGTCTGATTGCACTGAGTCCCAGTTGCAGCTTTCCGGGAATATTCTATTTTCTCTAGCAGGAATGGTGGCTGTCTGGTGGTTTTTGTTATTGTTGTTTAAGCTTCTGATACTTTTGCTTACAATATAACATAATTCAATTGTTTATAGCACATAAATGCTATTATTGTTTTTGCTGTTGTAGTTGTAGCTATTTATTACTAACTCTTACTGCATTGCTACAGTCGGCCCTAATCGGCTCTTGTCAGGCAGACGGAGCCTGCAAATGCATATATGTATGTATGTATGCATATAATTTATATTTACTCGAACCTAAGCGATGGCATTTTACCAAATTATTTTGTCTTTGAAACCCATAAATACTGGTAGGCATGTAAACATGTAGGGATGCTATATTTTACAGGCGCACAGTGCGAATTTTAATTCTATAAGTTAATACACATATAAATACAAGTATATGTGTACGTACATACTTGTATATAAGAGGCCCACTACGGTTCTCTTGTAATTGCTTCTGCTGTCTAATCATATTATTGTAATCCATTATGTTTTGCTTTAATAACTTTCCCTAACTTGCTTACTATGAATGCAAATTTCAGTCTCTGCACACGCTTTTATAAAATGTGAAAAAAGGTTATATTTAAACCTGGTTTCTCTGTATGCTGAAAAAATAATCGATAATAAAAACACACTCTCGCATAGTCAAATAGTATACTCGTTTGAGTATACTGTTGCCTCAGTTATTTACATTCACATTGAAATTAATTAGAGCAATTAAACGAAATTTACTCAAATTATGAGCAATTATATTAGGTATATAAGGGTTAAAGGAAGTATTGATCCGATCCAACCCATTTTTGACACAAAAACATACTATTTTCGAGAGTTTAATTTATTTATTATATTATATGAATTTTAATTATATATCTTACACATTGACCGATATTTTCGATAAAAACTCAACTAGAGGCACTGGCGTCCACATATTCAGTGCCTAGGGGATTGAACATTTTTGGTTCGCCTTAGACAATTTTTAATCACAAGGTGGCATACTTAACATGTATTATTCACGCAAAGTTTTACCCCGATACGAATATTGTTGCTTGATTTGCATAGTGGAAAGTGAAAGAAGAGAAAAGATGGAATTTAAAATGGTGTTATATGGGAAAAAAACGATAAAATATTTAAACAAAAATCAATTTTATGTCGATATAGATATATCGTTTTATCGGTAATTTTTATCGATTTTTGTTCATTTAATTACTTTAATTGCTTTGTCTACCAATCCACGTTTTACTGTTGCTTATGAAGCATAGAAGATTAAAAATAAAAAACTACTTTGAATTTAGGCCAAACTAACCTTAAGGGCAGCTTAATATTTAAGCCCTTTAAACTTTTATAAATGAAATTTTTGGTGTATTTACTTGTTGTAGATACATAACGTACGTAATTTGCAGCGCACACAGCGAATTCTATCCTCACTTAATACCTGTCATCCATAACTACAAGTAGTTGGTACAAATCTCCACCATGCTTTTACATATAATGCTGCAATCCTTATTTTTTTTAGTGACAATGCTTTCTGAGTCGACTGTGGTAGCTCGTGTGTTGTGAAATCGTGCTAACTGTATTAAACTGCGATCCAAATAGTGTATTTGTGTAAGCCTGGCTTAGAGTAGATGTACATACAAATGTAAATATTGTGTTACGCCAAAGTACTGACTTTCGTTGTTGTGTAGGTATGTGTTCGATACCACTTTATTAAAGTAGAAGAGGAAGGGAATACCTGTAATATTTACATACAGTAGGGTGGTTCTCTCATATAAAAAATGTTTAACTTAACTTTTATTTTCAGCTAATATAGTCGAATATATGTAGCATATGCTAAATTTAGTATCGATTAGAACGGTTAAGATTATTCGAATAATTCTCTAATCGCATTCCAAATGCATATGCGCTTTTGTCTACTTTAACGGTACTGTTTAGGATTGAGACTAAATATATTCTAAATTTGTTTTTGAAGAATTTTGTTTTAACAGCCCTGACAAATTGAAAAATAGTACATTTTATTTTTAAGGTCCACCCTAATATGAATAATGTGTTAAAAATCATACATTTTGTTTTAAGGAGCGCCCTAACATAAGTGAGGTATTGAGATCAGCTATTTTTATTTTGAGGACAAGCTAACATATTTAAAACTCATACACTTTGTTTTATGGACCACCTTTACAAAAGTTCGACAAAAACAATATGTGCATAATGATATCCCTCTGTTGCAGTTAAAAAGTGTAATAAAATACCTATATATGCAACATACTATACATACATATGTACAATTGTGGACAATGTATATATTTTCATTTTAAATTTGCATAATTTATTTTTGAATTTTTGTTACCTTTCGTTTCGTCATAATCACTACCTTTCATTGTGAAAAGATAAACTTGACAGCGAACAATTTTGATTTGCCTCTTTTGTTTCCTCGCACAAAGCAATTAATTAATGAAATCTCCTCTTCTGTAAATTTACACATAAAACGAAGAGAAAAAAAATAAATGAAAGCGAAATATTTGGCTTTACAATTACTGTGTAAAAGCATAAATTTACACCGATAAAACATTACTTGGAATTGTAAATGTCAACAGTCAATACAATCGCAACAAAAAGTGCATGCAACTACGGCAGTTGTTTGTACCGTTTTTCATCAGCAAAACAAATTCACTAATGGAGATGTTAAAAATTATATTTTACAATATTTTTGCGTGAAAGTTTGCCAAACTGTTAGCTAATTAGAATGAAAGCACGCTGTAGAACACC